TCTCCTCACGCGTCATCCCCGTGCAGTTAGTTCTACGGCTATTTGCAGGCCTCAATTCTTACTCACGCTCCGCCAACACGGGCTGGTCAGTTTGCTGACCGGTCGGAGAGACTCACTCACACTGACAGGTTACGCTTTAAGGACGGAAAGGACACATAATGACATATAATTTTGCTCAGTCAGCAGTTCAGCAGCGACTGGTGACAATGTTGCAACACATTTTGAGCCATCATAGGCAATCAGAAACACGGATTTGAATAGTAGGACATAGTATGCATGTTTTTGCATGTGTTTTTTAGGTTTCAGCTAATCATAAAAAAGACAATTAAAAATCGGTATGAAAAACAAAGTTATGAGTCTGCTTTTTAAATAAATTTTCCCAAAACAGCGCGTTCAAAGTGTTTTAGTCTTTATATTCTGGTCTGCTATATATTACAGAAAATACTCTTTGGAAATTTGTTTTTTACCTTTACGTACGATGCTGTTTCGTTTGCCGCCTCTCTGTTAGTCTATCTTCCTCTCCGTTATGTCAATGTGTAAAACTGTGGTGACTCCCTCTCGCTTTCCATGTCTGTGTTTCATATTCATTCTCTCTCATTCCATTCCCATCGCGCTCTCTCTCTCTCTCTCTCTCTCTCTCTCTCTCTCTCTTTCTCTCTCTCTCTCTCTCTCTCTCTCTCTCTCTCTCTCTCTCTCTCTCTCTCTTTCTTCACTACTCACAATGCCTCACACTTATCACTTGTCTCTGAGGTCCACCTCACTACCCCCATATTACCATCATCAAGATCTGCAACAGACGTCTACAATCATGGTTCTCCTTTCATTCCTTTGCTCAGATGCTCTCCACAAAGCTATAGTATTTGATATTTCCGCGTTACCCTTCTATTTAGGCTTTCCAAATAAGTTGCTCTGTGTCTGCCCCAGCATCGTTTGTCTTCAAGTTTACCAGTGAGAGCTAAATATTCAAAGCCCTTATGTCTATTCAAGTGTTCCAGTTGTCTCTTCCTAATTAATTCTTTCGATCAAAATGTGTGACCTTTTCAAAGAACTACCTATTTTAATTTTTTTTCCAAGAAATTCTTAAGTCTCATAAGAAACCACATATATGTTGCTTCTCACTCATACCCGACCTTTTTAACAGAAAGAGAGAAAGAAAAAGGTAATAAAATAAGAAACCCCCCCCCCCTTTCCCAAACCCCGTACCCCTTTTCCACGTAAAAGGCTCTCTCCCAATGCACACGCAAATGCTCAGCTTTCTCAGTAATTACCACTGTGGGAATAAGAATTCGAAGAAGCACAGGAAAGGCTTTCTTATTTATGCTTCTGACGACTTTCATTTACACTCCCAGCGCTTTCGTTTGGGTGCTAGAAACATTTATCTGCTGCCTTGTCCTCTGTGGCTGCAAGTTGTATTATGCCAATCGTCTTTACTGTTGCTTCATTTGCATTTTAAAATGCTTTACTATATACAAAAGATTCGTATGCGTGCCGTACTGTGTATTGTGATTGTACTAGGAGACAACCCCCCCTGCGGTATTAAATTGCATTCCCT